AAAGCGCGGGATTACGGGCCGACATATCTTTAAACTCATCGATTATTTATTTGGCTTTGTCCAGTGTACTGATAAGCCTATCAAAGGCATTCTTCATTTATAGTGTTTTTGATTTCTAGCCTGTTGCCTATTTTTAAATTGTGTTACTATTTTTTTGTTGTTGTTGAGTGGTAAGATTTTTTTGTTTGTTTTTGTTGCTTTTGAGCCAAGGTCTTAGTCTATTGTCCAGGCTGGAGTGCAGTGGCACAATCATAGCTCACTGCAGCCTTGATCTCCTGGGCTCTGGTGATCCTTCCATCTCTGCCTCCTCATCTGTAGCTTGGACTATAGGCATGTGCCACCGCACCTGACCAACTTTTAAAAATTTTTTGTAGAGATGAGGTCTTGCTAAATTGCCCAGGCTGGTCTTGAACTCCTGGTCTCAAGCAATGCTCCCACCTTAGCCTCCTCCCCAGGTGTTGGGATTATAGGTGTGAGCCACCACACCTGGTGAGTTATAAGAGTTTTTTTTATGTATTCTGAACACTAGATCCTTATCAGATAGATTATTTACATGTAGTTTTTCCCGTTCTTGGGATCTATTCACTTTCTTGATATTGCCCTTTAAAGCGCAAAGGTTTTAAATTTTGATGAAATTAAGTGTATCTGTTTTTTTCCCCCTTTGGTTGCTTGTGCTTTATATGCCATAACTAAGAAACTGTTGCCTAATCCAAAGGAGTGAAATTTATACCTTTATTTTCTTCTAAGAGTTTTGTTGTTTTAGTTCTTGCATTAGGTCCTTGATCTATTTTGAGTTAATTTTTGTGTTTGATGTGAAGAAAGTACATCTTCATTCTTTTGTTTATGAATATCCAGTTGTCCTAGCAATATTTTTTAAAAGACTGTATCTCATTGAATAGTCTTGGCACCCTTGTCAATAACCAACTGATCATAAATGCAGTGATTTACTTTTGAAATATCAGTGCTTTTTCATTGGTCTGGATGTCTGTCCCTAAGCTAGTACTATGCAGTCTTGATTATGTAGCCTCATAATACATTTAGAAATTAGGAAGTATGATTTCTCCAACTTTGTTCTTTTTCAAGATTGTTTTGGCTATTGTGGGTCTCTTACATTTTTATATGAGTTTTAGGATCAGCTTGTCAATTTCTGCAATGAAGTCAGCCGGTATTTTGATGGGAAGTATATTGAATCAGTGTGGGAAATTTTGTTATTTTAGCAATATTAAGTCTTCTCATCCATGAACCTGGATTCTTTTTCCATTCATCTAGGCCTTCTGTAATTTCTTTCAACCATGTTCTGTAGTTTTCTTGTACAAGTCTTTTACACCTTTTAAATTTTTTTCTTAAGTATTTTATTCTTTTTGATGCTATTACAAATGAAATTGTTATATTAATTTCATTTTTTAGCCAGGCTCGGTGGCTCAGCCTGTAATCCTGCACTTTGGGAGGCTGAGGGGAGTGGATTGCCTGAGCCTGTGGGTTCGAGACCCACCTGGGCAACTTGGTGAGACCTCATCTCTACAATAAATAAAAAAATTAGCCAGGCGTGGTAGCGCGCACCTATAGTTCCAGCTACTTGGATGACTGAGGCAGAAGGATCACCGGAGCCCAGCAGATCGAGGCTGCAGTGACCGGGAGTGACTACTGCACCCCAGTCTGGGTGACAGAGTGAGACTCCAACTCAAAAAAAAAATTTTTTCATTTTTTGTGTTGTTTATTTTAATCAGATAGAAGTGCAACTGATTTTGGTATATTGATCTTGTATCTTGAAATCTTACTGAGCTCATTTATTACCTCTAATTGTTTTGTTTTGTTTTGTTGGTTTGTGGATTCCTTAGGGTTTTCTATATGCAAGGTCATGCCATTTGCAAATAGAGTTTTACGTCTTCCTTTCCAGAATGTTTTTTCTTTCTTTTTCTTGCCTAACTGCTCAGGTTAGAATTTCTAGCACAGCGTCAAATAGAAATAGCAAGAATGGACATCCCCATATTTTTCCTGATCTTAGTAGGAAACCATTTAGCCTTTCACTATTAAGTATGATGTTATCTGTGAATTTTTTGTAGATGCTCTTTAACAGGCTGAGGAAGTTCCTTTCTACTCCTTGTTTGTCCAGTGGTTTTTTTTTTTCATGAAAGAATGGTTTTTGTCACGTTTTATGTTGCATCTATTATGTATCTTGTTGATTTTGTACTGTAGTCTATTAATATGCTGTATTACATTGATTGATTTTCAGATGTTGAACCATCCTTGCATTTCTGCAGTAAATCTTGACTTGGTCATGGAGTATAATCTTTCGTATATGTTGCTGGATTTGGTTTGATAATGTTTTGCTGAGGATTTTTGCATTTATATTCATAAGTAGTTTTCTTGTGATATCTTTGTCTGAATTTGGTATCAATTCAGTATTTGGTAATACTGGTCTCAGAATGACTTGGGCAGTGTTCCCTCCTCTTCTGTTTTATGGAAAAGTCTGACATATTGGTGTTGGTTTTTTTTTTTGGTGTTTTTTTTTTGAGTTGGAGTCTCACTCGGTCGCCCAGACTGGAGTGCAGTGGCTGCTTCCGGCCACTGCAGCCTCACCTACTGGGCTCCCGCAATCCTTCCGCCTCATCCTTCCGAGTAGCCGGAATTACAGGCATGCGCTACTACGCCCGGCTGACTTTTTGATTTTATTGTAGAGATGAGGTCTTGCTGTCCAGGTGGATCTCGAACCTACGGGGCTCAGGCAGTCCACTCACCTCTGCCTCCCAAAGGCGCGGGATTACAGGCTGAGCCACCGAGCCTGGCTTGGTGTTGATTTTTTAACAATTTGGTAGAATATACCAGTGAAGTCATCTATCTGGATCTGGGCTTTTCTTTGTTTTTAATCACTACAGTTTGATTATTCCCTATCCAAAATGTTTAGTGCCATAGTGTTTGGATTTTAGGTTATTTGCATTATACTTACCCATTGAGCATCCCAAATCCAGAAATCCAAAATTTGAGCATCATGGCAACAGTCCAAGATTTTCAGATTTTAGAGCATTTAGGATTTCAGATTTTATTTTATTTATTTATTTTTTTGAGTTGGAGTCTCACTCTGTCACTCAGACTGGAGTGCAGTGGCCGCTCCTGGCCACTGCAGCCTCGACCAGCTGGGCTCCGGTGATCCTTCTGCCTCAGCCTTCCAAATAGCTGGAACTACAGGCATGCGCTACCACATCTGGCTAATTTTTTATTTATTGTAGAGATGAGGTCTCGTCAAGTTGCCCAGGCGATCTCGAACTCGCGGGCTCAGACAATCCACTCACCTCGGCCTCCCAAAGTGCTGGGATTACAGGCTGAGCCACCGAGCCCGGTGGATTTCAGATTTTCAGATTTGGAATGCTCAACCTGTAATTGGAGTTGTGTAAGTAAGTCATTATAGCTAATAGTTTGTCAATTTTGTTGATCATTTTAAAGAATATTGGAACTTTTGCTTTTGTTGATTTTTCCTTATTATTTTTTTTCTTCATTGATTTCAGCAACAATTTTTAAATTTTCCTTTCTTGTGCTTGATTTGGGCTTAGTTTACTCCTTTTTTTCTCTAGTTTCTTACGTGGAAGTTAACTGATTTGAGGTATCTTTTTTTTTTGGTATCAGTGTTTAACAACTATAAATTTTTCTATGACACTGCTTTTGCTGTATTCCATAACCATGATTGTTTTTGTTTTTGCCTTTCAAGGAAATATGGTTTTCTATTGTTTTTGAGTTAGCTTGAACAATATGAACTTGCAGATATTCCATCATTTTGATCTACAGAAATGGTAATTTCCTATGTTTCACCCTAGTATGAATCATTCTCCCAAACATCTCATTACCTCCTATTCCCCTGTATTATCTTTGTTTTCACAGTCTAGGAAAACAATATCATATGATTGATATTTCAGGATAGAGCTTAAAATATTATTGAAGACCTGTTTGTCCTGTACTAACAAGTAGCTTTTGATCTGATTGAGGGACAAATGCATGTGAAAATGATTCACATCTGGCCTCTGATAATGTCCTAGAAGTGTTAGTGAAAAATGTCATAATTGATTAATGTTTCTGCCATTGTGTTATTACTATTGCTCATGCTTTTAAACAAATACCAAAAGAGGGAGGGAGGGACGAAAGCCCTGTGTGCTACCTGCTGTGAAGTAGCTTGTGATCTAGAAGGGGTGGGACAAATGAACCATTAATTATGATATAGCAGGATAAATTATACAATAGATAAAGGTCCAAAGGGAAGGGGCACTTAGTCACTTAAAAGGAGAGAAGAAGCCAGGCTTGATGGCTCAACCTGTAATCCCGCGCCTTTGGGAGGCTGAGGTGAGTGGATTGCCTGAGCCCACGGGTTCGAGACCCGCCTGGGCAGTGAGACCTCATCTCTACAATAAATCAAAAAATCAGCCGAATGTGGTAGCGCATGCTTGTAATTCCACCTACTTGGAAGGCTGAGGTGGAAGGATCGCTGGAGCCCAGCAGGTCGAGGCTGCGATGACCGGGAGTGGCCACTACACTCCAGTTGGGGCGACAGAGTGAGACTCCAACTAAAAAAAAAAAAAAGGAGAGAAGAAGGCCAGTCAAGGAAGATTTCTGGCTGTTTAGCTTGAATTTTGAAGAAGGAACATTTCAGATAGAAGAAGACAGGGAGAGATCGTTTTAGACAGGGGAAGACCATGTGCCTAGAGGGGGCATAGAGAGATAACACCTGTATTTGGAGCCTAGAGTGTGCATTGGGAAAGAGATGAAGCTGGAGAGGAAGTAGGTAATAGATTAGGAAGGACACTGTATCCCAAGCCAGGGAGTTGGACTTAGCTTAGATGCTGTTGGGTAGCTTTTGAAGATTTCTGCAGAGAAGCATTTGAATTATTTGTCCTGGGTGGGTTTGGAAGTCAGCTACTCTCCTTTGCCATATCTGCTAGTAGTCTTTCCTCATCGATAAAATTGTTCTCTTTCTCTTTTGTTTGTTTTTGTTTTGTTTTGTTTTTTACTCACAGTTCACTGAGACTTTTTTGACTGAGAGGGACAAACAATCCAAATGGAGTGGAATTCCTCAGTTGCTCCTTAAGCTGTATGCCACCAGCCACCTCCATAGTGACTTCGTTGAGTGCCAAAACATCCTGAAGGTAACTCTTAGGGGCCTTGGAGGGGCTGTATTAAGGGCCTCCAGGTGACACAAGCTATCTATTTTTCCCCCCTTCTTGTTGGCTTTTTTTTTTTTTGAGTCGGGGTCTCACTCTGTCATCCAGACTGGAGTACAGTGGCACGATCACGGCTTACTGCAGCCTCGCCCTCCTGGGCTCAGGCAGTACTTCCACCTCAGCTTCCTGAGTAGCTGGAACTATAGGCATGTGCCACTACACTCAGCCAATTTTTTGATTTTTTTGTAGAGACCAGATCTTACTATGTTGTCTAGGCTGGTCTTGAACTCCTGGGCTTAAGCAATCCTCCTGCCTCGGCCTCCCAAAGTGCTGGGATTGTAGGCATGAGCCACCACAGTCAACCTTTTCAACTTTTAATAGCCTGTTTTTATTGCGTGAATTGTAGAAAATCGGAGAAGTTCAAAAAAAGTACAGAGGAGAAAATAAAAATTACCTGTAATTACACCATCCTGAGGTGCTTATTCACGCTTATTTTGTGGCAGTGCTTGCTTAATTTGTAAGATCAACACTGTCCTGGGGTTGGGATGACATTCTTTTTGAACATTCTTTTTGTATTGCTGAAAGCTCATGGAATGGACCTGTGATTGTTGAAAATTATCACTAACAGGCCATCGCTTTACTAAATTCTGGTCTGGCTTTGTGGCTCTTTGAGCTATATGGTTACCTTGTTTTCCTGGCTTTGGTCTCCTTCCCTGCCTTGGGGAGGTGAATTTCTTCTCTCTTTCTCTCTAATTTCTAAATAAACTATATTTTCCAAACTGAAAAAATAAAAAATTATCACTAACATAAGGAGATTGAAGGGACCAGGTATGATGGTTGGGAGATGGGTGGAAAGAGCACAAAGACATATGCTAGGGTAGTTGTTCTGAAACTGGAATGTATATATGAATTTCCTAGTGGGCTTGTTAAAACGCAGGGTGCTGGGCCCCACCCCTAAAGTTTCTGATTCTGTAGGTCTGGAGTTACCTTATCTAACCTTACTTAGCTGCAGTTTGGATATGAGTTTGAATTTAGAACACCACCTCTAGCTGCAGTTAAAATCCATGTAAGTTATCCTGAACATAACGAGACTGAATGACATAATGTTCTTTGGAACATGTACTTTTTGATTATTATATCACATAATAAATTGTTCTAACCCTTTGCACTTGGATCTCCCCTCTGCAGGGACATCGTAAGTAGGAAATCACTTGGATGTCCCCTCTCAGGGGACATAAAGAGATTGCTGATGATTACGCAAGCACACATTCTTCAAAAATGTGTATTTCATTGAAGTGTTCCATTCAAAATGCATGAAAAACCAAATAAAGAGATGGAATATATACTGAGATATGACTGATCAGTTGAGAAGTAGTTTTCAAGAATCACAAGTGTGTCCTTCCATATCATCTTTGAGCAACTGACTGGACAAATTAATTATTATTAATATTATTAATGTGAGGGGAAGAAAATAAGACTGCATTGTCTGCTCAAATAGAAAAATACCGGTGGAAGATGTCAAAACAAATTACTATTGCACAATATGTATCATTGAACCTGCAGTGCATGTTGGTGACTGTTTTACACATTACCACATCTTAGAAAAATATAAGATATATAATTTTGATTTTTTTGGTCATAAATAAATTTCTCAATGTCCAAAATTCCATTAGAAGCCAAATATCATTACAATAAAATAATTGGTTCCAACACTATACTATTTAATATGAAGTGAATAGTTTTTCACTGTTACATTAAAAAGTGCAGTCAAGTTGTTTGTAGGTGATTCGCAAGATGTCTCCGAGTGCAAAGGGCTAAAATATAATAGAAACTGAATAAGCTTAGTATTTGTTTTTAAGAAGAGTCATTTTTGTATTATTGATCTTTTAACAGTCTAATTGATAGAAATAATTATGGGCTCTCCCACTTATTTAAAAATGCTTTTCAGCTGGGCATGGTGGCTCACACCTATAATCCCAGCACTTTCGGAGGCTGAGGCAAGAGGATTGCCTAAACCCAGCGGTTTGAGACCAGCCCGGGAAACTTGGCAAAATCTTGTCTCTACAATAAATTTAAAAAGTTACCCAGGCGTAGTGGCACAAGCCTATAGTTTCAATTACTTGGAGGGCTGAGGTGGAAGGATTGCCTAAGCCCAGCAGGTCAAGCCTGCAGTGCCTGTGAGCGTGCCACTGTACTCTAGCCTGGGTGACAGAGTGAAACTCTGACTCAAAAAAAAAAAAACTTTTCAAAGAATTATACATTATTTTATTTGATTTCTACAAAATGTCTGAGATATGAGGTTGAATTGAAGTTAAGGCAGAGAGAAATTAATATTTGTGAATCCTTTTTTGTGATCTTTATTCATCCAGCAAATATTTATGTGACACTTACTGTGTCCTAGGTTTTTCTGTAAGACTTTTTTTTCTCTTTGTTCTGTATGAACAAAGGATTCTTTGACCCCCCCCCAACTTGAGAACTTCTACCCTATGTCTACTGTATCTTATATTGTCTTAGGGGGAATACAAAACGGAATCCGTTCCAGTCTGTTTTTCTTTTTTTTTTTTTTTGAGTTGGAGTCTTACTCTGTCGCCCAGACTGGAGTGCAGTGGCCGCTCCCGGCCACCGCAGCCTCGACCTGCTGGGCTCCGGCGATCCTTCCACCTCAGCCTTCCAAGTAGCCGGAACTACAGGTGCGTGCTACCACGCCCGGCTAATTTTTTGATTTATTGTAGAGATGAGGTCTCGCCAAGCCCACTCTGTTTTTCAAGGAACATTTAATATAGGGAAGAAATAACTTTTGTTTGTCAATAGATACAAAGTAGAAGTGCTCAATGCTGGGTCATGATTACTGGGCACACAGGCCCAAGGGTGGGACTGGCAGACACTGGCCACTGCTAGGAGAGGGGTATGCAACATCATATTGGATACCTAGCCCACTATTGGAGAGAGAAGGCTAGCTAGAAGCCCAAACTATACCTGCATGCAATGTATTTATATAATAAATCTTCACTTGTACCCCACAGGATCCAGCATTGAGCACTTTTGCTTTGTACTTATTTACGAACATGTTATTTCTTCCCTATATTAAATGCTCCTTGAAAAACAGACTGGAGCAGATTCCATATTGTATATATTAATACAGTGGTCCCAAAATATGTTTGCACATTTTAAGAGATATCTATGTATTTCTTTTTGAAGTTGAATTAAATTATAGTAGCAGTGTATAGTATGACATTTGCTCAATCATGCTCCCACCATTTACTTTGACTGTCCCGCCTGTCACATGGTGCCGCTAGCATTCATTTAATTAACGCCATCTTTTGAGCGAACATCATACTTTATATGTGCATACATTTTTTTGGCACCCCCTGTATATTAAGATTTTATATATATATATATATATATATATATATATATATATATATACACATACACACACACACTATATATATAAATGTGCTTGGTGCTACAAATGAGTTACAGGTTACTTTGAGGGTTTAGAAGAGCATCAGATTGCTTCTTGCTGGGGAAAATCAGAGACGACTTCCTGCAGGAGGTGAACATTTGAGCAATGATTTCGTTATTGCTGCAGAACCCCTTACCTCAAAACCTAGTAATTTGAAGTAAGAACTACCGTTTCTCTCTAACAATTTTGGTTGGTTGAGTGGTTCTTCTGCTTCATGTGGTTTGAATGGAGCACTGAGTTATCTGGAATGTCCAAGTTGGCCTCACTCACATCCTTGGCAGGTGGGGCTGGTTGTCAACTGGAGATCAGCCAAAGATATCAGTCCTGGCTTCGATTCTCCTCCTGGTGGACTCCCCAGATGGCTGTGTTGGACTTCTCACAGCATAATGATTGGGTTCCAGGATGGCAAGAGGCAAGTCTGCCAGGCCTTCTTAAGGCTTAAGCTGTAAATGGCGTAGTGTCGCTTCTGCCACATTCTGTTACTTGCTGTATCCGCAGCCCAGACTCAGTGTGGGATGGGGCTCTCCAGGGGCCTGAATGCTAGGAATGTTGTTCGTTGGGGGCTACCTTTGTGCTTATGTTCCTTTGTGCTTTGTGCTTGTGTGCTCTGTGTTGGTTACTATAACAGAATGTCTTATGTACTTTTTTAAAACTAGGACATTTCTCCTCTTCTCTCGATGGAGGCTATGGCATTTGTTACTGAAGAGAGGAAATTTACCCAAGAAACCACTTATCCAAATACTTATGTTTTTGACTTGTTTGGAGGTGTTGATGTAAGTAGCTGTTTATTGTTACTACAACTGTTGCCTCTACTTAATGGTTTGAGAATTTAAGTCTCGAAATGGGAAATAGGAAACATTTCAGAATTGATGGAAAACATTTCAGATTTTAACTTTTAGAAGCTATGTGGCATTCTACTGATGTTGAAGCAGCATAGTTTTTACTTTAGAAGAATTCATGTATTTGAATTGATTCTGTATCTACCTTTAAAAAAAAACACAAAGTGAAAAGTACTTCTCCCAATTTCCCAGTGTCCCCTCCTTGGAAGCAATTGTGATTTCTAGTTTCTTGTGTGCTCTTTTAAAGATGTCCTGTGCTAGTCATATGTTGTGTATGTAAATACCCCCCACTACCTCCACCTTAGTTTGTTTTTTCCACATATAGAGTAGCATACCATATGCATGGGTACATTCATCTGTACCTTGCTTTTTTCTTATGGTTTTTTAGCTTAGGATTAATATCATTTCAGTACTTATAAATCTACCTCATTATTTTAAATAGCTAAATAGTATTCCCTGGTGTAATTGTACTATAATTTATTTACCTAGGCCCCAGTTTATGGGTGTTTAGAGTTTTTTCATACCTTTTCTCTTACAGACAAGGTTGCAGTAAAGATCTTGTATATACTTTTGTGTACATGTGTGTATATATCTTTGGAACCAAAGCATATGTGTTTTTTTTATTGTTTGTAATCCTGCAGTTTGCATATCTAAGAGGTTTTATCAACTTACATCCCAATAAGAAAGTATAAGAGTTATCTGTTGGCCGGCTCGGTAGCTCAGCCTGTAATCCCAGTGCTTTGGGAGGCCGAAGTGAGTGGATTGCCTGAGCCCGCGGGTTCAAGACCCGCCTGGGCAAGTTGGCGAGACCTCATCTCTACAATAAATCAAAAATTAGCTGGGCTCGGTGGCTCAGCCTGTAATCCCGCACCTTTGGGAGGCTGAGGTGAGTGGATTGCCTGAGCCCACGGGTTCGAGACCCGCCTGGGCAACTTGAGGAGACCTCATCTCTACAGTAAATCAAAAATGAGCCGGGCGTGGTAGCGCGCGCCTGTAGTTCCAGCTACTTGGAAGGCTGAGGCAGAAGGATCGCCGGAGCCCAGCAGGTCGAGGTTGTGGTGGCTCGGAGCGGCCACTGCACTCCAGTCTGGGTGACAGAGTGAGACTCCAATTCAAAAAAGAGAGTATCTGTTTACCCACATCATCACCATGTGTCCGTGTGTGTTTTTTTAGGAACTTTGCTATAGAAGAATAACCTTCATACAGAAAAGTACACCAATAATTAGCACAAATTAATTCACTTTTGTCACTACCACCCAAATCAAGAAGTAAAATATTTCCTACACCCAGAAGCCCCTTTTACTAAAAAATGTAGTTTTAAGTATTTACTAAGCAGATGTGAGAAAAATGATTGTTTCTTCACAGGCTTGTTTTAACCAGCTTTTTTGAGATACGGTTCGTATACCCTAAAGTTGACTTGTAAATTGTATAATTCAGTGGTTCTTAATGTATTCTAGACATGTGAACATTTTCATCACCCCTAAAAAGAAATTCTGTGTTTTCAGCTATGATTCCCCTACCTCTCCAACCCACCACCCCACCCTATGCAACCACTAACTTACCTTTTTGTCTTTATGGATTTCCCTGTTCTGGACATTGCATATAAATGGGGTTATATAATATGTGTTTTTTTGTGACTGACTTCTTTCAGCTTAGCATAATGCTTTCTGGATTCATCCATGTTGTAGCATATATCAATATTCTTTCCTTTTTTGGCCAAATAATATTCCATTGTTTGTACATACCACATTTTGTCTATCTGTTTGTCTGTTGGGAGACATTTGGGTTGCTTCTGCTTTTTGGCAGTCATGAATAACACTGCTCACAACATTCTTGTACAGGTTATTTGTTTTCATTTCTCTTGGCCATATACATACCTAGGAATAGAGTTGCTGAGTCATATGGTAACTCATTATTTAATTGTTTGAGAAACTGCCAGAGTGTTGTCCAAGAGGCTGCGCCATTTTACATTTCCACCAATCTCTCTATATTCTTGTCAAAACTTGTTATATGTTATTTTGAATATAGCCATTTTAGTGAGTGTGAAGTGGTATCTCATTGTGGTTTTGATTTGCTTTTCCCTGATGACTAATGATATTGCCAATCTTTTCGTAAGTTTGTCTGTCTCCTTTCCCTAGTTCTTAAGTGGGATATTTCTTTTTATTGTTTAACTGTAAGAGTTCTTGGTAGCCAGGCTCAGTGGCTCAGCCTGTAATCCCACGCCTTGGGAGGCTGAGGTGAGTAGATTGCCTGAGCCTGCGGGTT